TATATATATATATATGTATGTATGTATGTATGTATGTATGTATAGATACACAGATTCATATTCGTGTTAATGTTGATACGCCCTATACAATGGTTTTGACATGTCTGGAATGAATCGATAAATAAATCATGGTTCACACATTTGTGACTAAAATGAGTAGAAACACTTCAATAATTTGATGCAATGTTAATTTTATGCCTCCCAAAATAAGAAAATTAGTCTTTAGTTCTGTGTTGCCTTGGCTACTTTTTGTTTGGTCTAGTGCTTGAAAAAAAATATCTGGATAAGCTGCAGATAGTTCAAAATAAAGCAGCAACATTAACACTCGGCTCTCATTTTAGAACTAATGTTAACTTCATGCATTGAAGCCTGTCATTCATTTCTTTTCATACAGTTTGGATTTTACATAATATTTTTGGTGTTTTCTCACAGTTTTTACCCACCTCTAACAGACATGGTTTTAATACTAGACTAACCTCTGTTGTTACTTTTACACTACCTATAGTGCTCTGTACAAAGCAGTTCATACTGGAATATGTTACCTTCTGAAATAACATCGATTGGAGATCATGATGGTTTTAAAAAGAACCTTTAAAAATCTGTAATTCATGATTAAATAACATTCAACTGAATGGATGAGTCAATCTGTAAGTGGAATGTAGACGGTGTTTTTCTTTCAACAATGTTTGTAAGTTGTAGTCAACAACTTGTTGTGACTTTTGGCTTTTTTGTGAGATTTTGAGTTGTAATATTTGTATATTTTAATGCTTGTGGGTGTGGATCCCAGGATGAGTAGTTTCTGCTATGATAAAGACAAATGAGGATCCTAAACTAAAAACAAAACGAAGCATATGAAAGTCAAATTTTCTTTATGGTGGCATCAAACTGTACCACCAGGTGGCGCCAGAGTTCCACCTTCAGAAAAGCTCAAGAGATGTCTCCTTTTTCTGTATGGTAGATTTATTAAGAGTTGATGTTACTAATTTCTGGTGAATTTGTCATGCTTAGGTCCACAACAGTTTAGGAAGCAGTGACCTGAAACTGAGGGTCTCTTTAGAAAACCTCCTGAAAGCAGAGAAGGTGGGCCGCTGGTGGATCGTCGGCTCATCGTGGAGCGGCGCCCCCATGATCAACAAGCAAGAAGACATGACCTCACAGAAGAGTACTGCTGAAGGACAGGTAGACACCACAGCAGACCGTTGTTCAGAAAGAGATGCGCCAATTCAGAATGTCGTCTTTGGGCTGCGCAATGTTTAGGAAATAAAACTGTCATTCTCAAATACTTCTTTTTTTCCCATATGTATTTACACCTCTTAGAGTCAAAATCAGATGTTTTCACATTTAAGGAGAAATTGTCCTGCACCTAAAAGGGATTTTGTGGTTGCCAGTTGTAATGTTCCTCCTCCTTCAGTTCAGCCACAAAGTGTTGGAGCTGGCTCGGAAACAGAGGATGAACACAGAGGTCAGGAGGAACATCTTCTGTGCTCTGATGACCAGCGAGGATTACCTGGATGCTTTTGAGAAACTGTTGAGGTTTGTTTACCTTTTCTTTTCTTTTTTTTAAACCTATATCAAACTTAATGTTATTTTAGGAGATCTCATTTCACTTTTTTAGATTTTTCTTTAAAGCTTTTTTTTTTTTTTTTCTGGATGAAGGATGGGTCTGAAGGACAAGCAAGAACGAGAGATTGTTCATGTTCTGATGGACTGCTGTCTGCAGGAGAAAACCTTCAACGGGTTTTATGCCGTACTGGGAGAGAAATTCTGCTTCCACGACCGCCGCTTCCAGGTACTGCAACTGAGAGGAAAAAACAAATAATACAACGAATTGTAAAATTAGGGTTAGCTTGTACTGTATTGATGTGACGTGAATGGCCTTCAGTTCACCTCTGCAGTGTGGGAGCTTCTAACACCTTGTCTTCTGATTGATTCTAACTGTGACTGCAAACAATGAGGCAGAGACCACTTCCTACATGACTGCCTGGTGGGCCACCAGCTCATATCAGAGACTGGTGACCATTGTCCTCATCAAAGAGCTCAGAATGGAGTTGCTGGAATGTTTGCTGTTCACATGTAAACTGGATCCAGATGAGAGGATCACCTTTACAAAACAGTTACCTAATAGGTCGACAACTGTTTCTTAATCAGGCTTTTGCTTTCAATTAGGTAAAAGGATTATTCAGAATTTAGTCAATAATTCTGAGTTAACTAACTACTACTTAAGCACGCAAAGTATTTATATGTGAGGATATATATTTTAGAAAATATTTTCTTGTCATAAATTATTTCAAACGTTTTTTTTTTTTTTTTCTTTTGCTGTATTCTGTACTTTCAGTGTTGTGGTTTTTTTGTAGCTTTTATTTGGCAAGCATTGATAGTTTTACACTTTACTTCCCAAAGGGCAGTAACTGATGCCTTTTTTTTTTAACAAGTTAATTTAGATCACAGCAGACAAATTCACACAGTACGGAGAATTGAAATAATCAAAACCTTGATACTTTAATATTCTTTATGTTTTAGTCTTTGTCTAAATATTCTTGCGTTTCATTTTGGTCTTAATGGATTCGGTTTCTCTTTAGGAGATTGTGTTTCATGGTCGGGGTTTTCAGTTTTTGTGTTTTCATAGTTGTTTTTAAATACGTGATGGCATTTGTTATACAGGTGCATCTAAAAAGATTGAATATTGGAAAAGGTTAAATATATATATTGTCCATCATTTCAGAAAGTGAGAGTCATAAACTGTATTATATAGATATTTCAAGGCATTATTTCCTGTAATTTTGATGATTGGGGCTTACAAATAATGCAAAACCAAAATTCAGTGTCACGAAATTATGATATATAATTATATATATTATGGAATATATAATTATTATATTTAGTACATTTCATTATGTGTAATGAGTCTATGTAATACATGAGTTTCACTTTCTGAAACGATTGCCCCCCCCCCCCCCCAAAAAAAAAAAGAGAACATTTTTATGATATTCTGTTTTTTATATGCACTTGCATGTAGCAGATATCATAAACAGTCATTTATTAAACTGGTGAATACTCTGATTTTATGACTTCACACTGGCACAAGAAATGGTTTAACAAATGTAGTCACTTTAGTTGTGTGACTTTCTGGTGCAGCGTCATATTTTAGAGAATTTTTTTTAGTATCATGCATCAACATTTGTGACACCGATGGTATTTTTCTCATTTATTCGAGCACTTTATAATAATAAATTACAAGACTGTGATAGAAATGTATGATTGATTTGTTTTTCTCAGGTAATTTTGTGTTTTATGTGTTTAACTGTAGAGTATATCCTTTTCGTTGGATATTTAATGCAGCTCTATTTTGACGCAAAATCATATTTTTGGATACAATTCTGACTTAGTTTGACAAGAAATGTTTGTGTTTTTAGATGACCTTCCAGTTCAGCTTGTGGGACAAGTTCAAGGACCTGGCCAACCTTCCCAGCAGCTCCTTCAACAACCTGGTCCATCTGCTGACCTGCTTTCTTCAGAAGAAGTGCCTCCCACTCTCCATTCTCAAAGTGAGTCGTTGTTACAGGATGCTGTGGTGCAGCCATCGCTCTATTTCCTCGAGCAGTGTCATCAACTGATCAAAACCTATTGTTTAACAGTCACAGTTGTCTTTGTAGGTGATCGAGTTTGGAGAACTGGATAAAACCATGGTTCGCTTCTTGCGACAAGTGCTGACCAAACTGCTAAAAGAAGCCGAGCCCGAGGAGCTGGTCAACATTTTTGGGAGGTGAGATTCTTTGTCTTCGCGTGTTCTTGAGATTTTCTTCAAACATCAACGTTTTTACAATGTTCGACAAAAACACGGATTATGATCATGATAACAGTCACACAGGAATTTGTAATATAGTCAAACTTCCAGATTTACTGCTGTCCAGATCAAAATGGTTTAAATAGCTAAATCATCACAGATCATTGCTATGGCTGGAAAATTATTGTACACGATGGGCAATAAAATCCACCAGCCTGTCAAAGAGCTCATCTTTACATCCATCCATTATCTTTACCCGCTTCTTCCTTTAAGGGTCGCGTGGGTCACTGAGAGGTGACAGGTCTCCAGTCCATCACAGGGACACACAGAGACAAACAACCATTCACTCTCACTCACATCTCGAAGCCTAAAATAAAATCTGTGGTCCTTGTTGTTTCTTCTTCACCAGGATTTCAGGAATTCCCAAGCTTGGAATGCTGCGGGAAGGCTTGAAGCTTTTCATCAGTCACTTCCTCCTGAAGAACGCGTCACAGGGTCCAGCTGAGCAAGCGGCGCTGCTGTCTGAGTGCGCCCAGATCGCCACCAAAGCCATGGAGGCCAAGCTCAAACCATAACAAATACGCACATGAGGAACTTCAAATGTTGGCTGTGGAATAAAAGGAGGCGTATGAGGAAAATACTCCTCTTAGATAAAAACAAAATGACCATTTTAAATCTTTTTTAAGAGCATGTTTGTCAGAGTGTAATGTATGATGTTTGAATATTAAACTTACTGCCTCTGAATAACTCAGTAATATGCAGTAAAATGCTACAAATATTGTATATTATCAAATATTACTGCTGGCCTTTTTTATGTTTTAATTAAAGCAGAAACCTCACAAGAAAATCAGTTTAAAAAAAAAAAGCTTTTTTTTTTTTTTAAATTTACTGAAAACAATAAACAGTTTTTTTCCTAAATTGTTTGTTAATGTTGTCTTTTTGGCCAAGATGTTATTTTTTAAATTAACTAGCTCTTTTAAAAAAAAACACCTACCATAAAACAAATTTAACTAGAGAAATTGTATTTCCTACAAAAATGCAGTGTGAATGCTTATTGCAGAAGAACTTGCTGAAAAACAGCTGAACGTGGCTAAAACATGCTGAAATGTAGCTGAAAAGGAAGAACAAGCCTAAGTTAGTAGAAGCAGAAATAATGCATATTTGCTGAATTGGGTTTAAATAAGCAGAGAAATTAGCTGAAAAAGATGAAATTAGCAACAGAAAAAAATAGCTGAAAAGGCAGGAAGAAGCTTAAAATACAAGAAGAAAATGGAGAGAGTACAAATGTGCCCAATTAGGCTTAAAGAAGCAGAAATTAGCACACAAAAAATTATTGAAAAAGCAGAAATTTACACACACACACAAAAAAAACAGCTGAAATAACTAAAAAGGCCGAAGGAAATGCAGAGAACAAACATTTGCTGAATTAGGCTGAAAAGAGTGCCAAAAAATATGGATTTAGCTGAAAATGCTGAAATTGGCATAAAAACAGCTGAAACAGCAGAAAAAGCTGAAAGGAGCATAACAAGCTGAAATTAGCAACGAAGTTAGAAGACGCACAAAAATGTAGTTTGCAGAAATAATCACAAAATAACTGAAAGTAGCTGAAAAAATTTTTTAAATTTACACAAGGAAGCTGAACCAGATCAAAATGTGAAAGGTTATAAACAGATCTAAAGATTTGAAGGATGTAAAATGAGCTCAGTTTTCTATGAGGAAAAAAAAAGTGGCAGAAAAGACGAAATATTTCAACAAGCCAAAGTTGCACCAATAATAGTCGTAGCACCCTCATCCTGAACGAGCTGAACGTTTAGAGATGAATTGTTGAAATAGCAAAAAAAAAATTGTGGAACGAGAAAGAGGCCAGAAGAAAAATGGATCACAATAGTGTGAATGCTTCATAAACATTCACACTATTAAAACTATTTCTGCCTAAAGTCTCACCTAACGGCTGCCTGTTTCGATGCTTTTGTCTTTTTGTAGATATTTCCGCAGTGAGATGTTTACACACCCTGATGAAATGACCTGTGGACACTGAATCTGGCCTGCTCTGTTTGCTCGCTGACACTACTGTTCCCACATGAACATAGCGGAGTCATTCTGTTACATTTGATACTTGCTCCTAGTAATTAGCTCAGTCGGCGTGGCCTGCGCTCAAGCCGGAACCTGGGTGGTCAGGGGTAAAGAATTGGTCACAAAGGTCACCCGGAGGAAACGTTCGTCACTGGTTCACAGAGAAAGCTGCTGCTTAATGAAGTTTTCTGGAAATTTCAAGATCCAGCAGTGGTTAATTTACTCAAAAACCTAAATATATTCACTAAATAGGGACATTTTTGATTTACGAAAAAAAAAAAAACTTTTTTCCCCCATCTTTCAGAGGGAAATCGCTTCTTTGAGCTTTACCTGTTGACCCTTAGTTGAACTTTCATTTAGTCTGCCGAAGCAAACAAATGAAGATAAGCAACAGATCCCTAGTAATCCTGTTCAAAACAGCATGAAATCACTCAAATGCAGCTGTTGAATAACACGGTTCACTGGAAAACCAGGTGAACTGGGCCCATCTGCTCAATGAATGAAGAGTAACACAAATGAAGGGCCATGGATTTCTTATATTGACTCCTTTCAAGCCCTACAGACTGAGATTATCTTATGTTGAGAAATCGAGCTGTTTTGGTCAAAACTGAGATTACACAGTATGTTGAAAGACTTTCAGCCACTACATCCAATTTTAGCTCAATATCTGCAAAATTGAATGAGCAGTCACTTCCATGTTGGCTAAAGTTTAGTAGCTGTGGCAGCCATTTTTAGTTTAATTGTCTCTAAATACCAATCAGTTGTAGAATTTTTATCCCGTGATTACTCTCTAAAAGTTTAGTTTAAACTGACTCAGTGGTTCATGAGATATTTTACTAACAGACAGAGTTGACGCCAACAGTTAATACTGAAGTTTTAAGCAAATATCCTGCAAAATGAAAAGCAATTCAATTGAGCGCTGTGAATAATCTTCTTCATACCCCAAAGTTCCTCAGGGTTCAGTGCTTGGACCCATACTTTTGACTTTATATATGCTTCCATTAGGTAAAGTTATTAAACAGCATGGGATAAATTTTCATTGTTATCCTAATGATAAATTGGGGGAGTGGTGGCGCAGAGGTGTGGGCTTGTGATCGGAAGGTCGCCAGTTCAACTCCCTGTATCAATAACATCAAAATGTGTGCGGGAACGGTGAAGCACCCACACCTGCCTCCACTCTCATTTGCCCCACTCTGGACCATTGAGCAAGACCCTTAACCCCCACCATCTGCTCCTCTGGGCGCCCTAGACGGCAGCGCTCTGCTCCACACATCGGACTGCGGTAGCTCGGTGGTCTGTGTTTGTGTCAGGAAGGGCATCCGGCGTAAAAAAAAAAAAAAACATTTGCCAAGTCTTTGTGCAACTTACTGTGGCGACCCCTGAAGAAGGGAGCAGCCGAAAGAAGAAGAAGAACTCAGCCACACAAAATTCTAGGTCAGTACAATGGATTGAATTATAGCCATTTTTGTTTTTCTTAAAGTCAGCTGACGGCCATGTTTAACTGAGATGGCTCCAGAAGATAATCATTTGTAGATGTACATTCATTGCCTTTGTTAAAATTCATCCATGAGATATTTTGTTAACAAACATGAGTCTTTCAGTGGAGGGCATTTGCTCCATCAGAGACAACTTGTGTCACAATATGGACCTGTTTCAACATTCAAAAGTAACATTTAAGACAAATCTCACAGCATTGTAGTATAGTTTATTTTTCTTCACATTAAAACGATTGGAGTGCTGGAGCTAAAAGCGGCTGCAGGAACAGAAGTGTTGCCTTTTGAACTGGCTGACTAACAGGAGCCTGTTGCTGCTGTGGTGTGAAATGTTTCCTGTGTCTGCCTGGCCGCTCGCTGTTTGCTCTCACTGCACGTTTGCACAGATCCGACAGCGCATTTAACAGTAATTCCCATGACCCGAGCTGTCAGAGCGAGGAGAAGAAACACACCGCCAGTAAATCATCAATCCACCAACAATACTCCTTTAAAACACAGAACGCCAAAATTTAGATCTGTTGTACAGAAGAAGCTTAGGGTCACGATGCAATCTTATTTTCCTTGATTCTGAAAAAAAATAAATATTGAATTCTGAGATTAAAATCAAAAACTATCTATGTAGTTTTGACTTTTTTCCTCAGAATTCTGACATTAATCTCAGAAATCTGACTTTAATCTCAGAATTCTGATTTTAATCTCAAAATCCTGACTTTAATCTCAGAATTCTGACTTTACTCTCAGAATTCTGACTTTAATCTCAGAAATCTGACTTTAATCTCAGAATGCTGATTCTAATGTCAGAATTCTGACTAATCTCAGATATATGACGTTAATCTCAGAATTCTGACTTTAGTCTCAGAAATCTGACTTTAATCTCAGAATTCTGTCTTTAATCACAGACTTCTGATTGTAATCTCATTAATATGACTTTAATCTCAGAATTCTGGTTTTAATCTCAGAAATCTGACTTTAATCTCAGAATTCTGATTTTAATCTCAAAATCCTGGCTTTACTCTCCGAATTCTGACTTTCTTCGCAGACTTCTGATTGTAATCTCATTATCTGACTTTAATCTCAGACTTCTGATTGTAATCTCAGAATTCTGATTTTAATCTCAAAATCCTGACTTTAATCTCAGAATTCTGACTTTACTCTCCGAATTCTGACTTTAATCGCAGAATTCCAACTTTTATGACTTTTTTCCCAGAAATCTGACTTTTTTCTCAGAATTAATAGGGAAAAAATATATTTTTGCACCGTGATCCTAATTCTCTTCCGTACTGTATATTAATAATAGGCTAATTAAATAAAACTGTTTTATTCCACTTTCTTTGCAGCAAGAAATATATTTCCCATGCAGCATTTGGAGCGATTACATATGGGTGAAAATGTACATTTGACGCACTGACAAAGGAGAGACAGCAGGCTCAAATCTGCTGCAAAGAGAATATAATGACTGCTAATAACTGGATCTGTGTGTGTGTGGGGGGGGGGGGGTGTCCTTTCCAGCTCCATGTCTCACAGTTCCATCCTGTTAGGTAATAAAAATGAAATTTCTTGCTTTATTGTTTGGCAACAGTCTGTTTTTGACATAACAAAACATGTTGGATTACATGCAGCTGCATTCTACAGCACCCCCAACCCCCAACCCCATTCCTCAGAGTCACTGATCTCGCGCTTTCCTTTCTATTAATATTATTTTTGTTTGTTTGTTTGTTTGTTTTTTGCTTCAGGGTTGCGGACTGATGTCGCTGTTGTGATGCCGCTCGTCGTCCGTGGAGCACTCGGAGGAGTTGTAGAGGAAGCTGTCGCCCTCCTCCTCATCGTCACTGTCCCTGAAATCTCGGATTCTGCCGTTTTTTGAGTCCGTCTTGCTGTGATAATCCGACTGTTCGAGTCCGTCGGCTTTCTCCTGGCCGCTCTTTGTGCCTTTCTGCTTGTCCGCCTCCTGGGCGGCCTGCTCTTTGGCCTTCTTGCTCCTCTTCCACTTCATGCGTCTGTTCTGGAACCAGATTTTCACCTGGGGAGGGGGGGGAAGGGACGGATTCATTTATTGCGCCATAGTCGGATGCATGGCGCACCTTAATTGGAGTAACATCACCATCCACCTTTTTGTTTTCTTCCTTCTTACATTTTATTGGAAACAGTTTCGTTTTATTTCCGTTTAATTTTTTTAAATTATTTTTACTTAAGTTAAATGCCTCTAAAAATAAAATGAAAACAGGCTCTTTTTAACGATGCGTAATGGTGCGCGTAAAGGTCACCCAATCCACTTACTGGCTTATTCGATGGTGCAATCACTAAAAACTTGTTTATTAAAATGAATTAAATGCCATAATAGTAATACATTCAGGACGAGTAAATTAAACATTTAGTGTGAACACAATTAGTCAAAAGTACAAAATACAAAATTGTCTTTTGTGTGTGTTTTTTCATTTAGGTTTTTCATATTATATAAAAAAAATTGGTATAAATTTCCGAATATTATTAAAAAAAAAAACTAAAAAAAAACATCCTCAGCTTGTTATTCGTGTAAGACCTGAGTTACCTGTGTTTCTGTGAGCATGAGGGACGTGGCCACCTCAAAGCGCTTGGGTCTGGACAGGTACTTGTTGAGTTTGAACTGATGCTCCAGCTCCAGCAGCTGCTGACTTGTGAAGGCAGTTCTGGGTCTCCTGCACTTCCCGAGCAAGTTCGACTGCGCCTGAGCTGCAGGATTAAAACAAACAAACAAACAAACAAACAAAAACAAACAGTTTTATTAACCTAAAGAAGAAAAAAAAAAAAAAAAAAAGCTCTGACTTGCAGATTTAAGTTAAAAATTGTGCGCAATAATCTAAACATTCTAATGGAAATAAAGTGCGCAAAATAAGATGCTGAAGCAGCTTCTGGTTCAAATTATGCCTAATTTATTTAGACTTTCTCTGCTCAAAAACAACACCAGGCAACATACATAGAAAAGCTTTTTTTTCCGCATCATTTTGAACAAATCTGTTAAAAAGCAGAAACAAAACGCGCAGTCTCTGCTGAGCAGATCGCATGTCGGCTGTGGCTTTCACACCCCTCCGCCACTTTCCCCCACTGTCCATTATCTGTCCATTTTAGTTCCTCTCACAAAAAACACCACTGTATGATGGCCTCTGCATCCACACGAGAAAATCTGATGGGAAATGTGCTCCAGGCATTAAATACTTTTTTATTTTTCCTCCAGTGAATATTGTAACATGATGCTGCTCAGGCCTTTTGTCATAAATTGCCATAAACCCTGATTTGCAGATAAATGTTCTACTCACAGTTAAAGTCGGACATTTTTGGAAGCATCATCCCGGCTGTGGAAACTCTCAGCCAGTGGTCCAGTTGAAAGGTGCTAGCCGTCAGTTTAATGGGATCACTGGTGTGGTGGTGATGGGAGCCGTGCGGGTAGGGGTAGGACAGAGCAGGGTGCTGGCCCGTGAGCGCAGCGGCGGAGTAGGTGTACATGGGGTGGCCGTAGAGAGCCTGCGCGGGGATCCCTGCGGTGCTCTGCGGGTGTAGTCCCACCATGCCGTGCGGGCTGCTGAGGAAACCCGGTTTGGGGATCAAACCGCACGCGGAGATCCTCGGCGGAGACGGCGTCTCCGCGCGTAAAGACTCGGCGCTGCAGGCGCTGAGCTCCGGGGCTGCTCCGCTTCCAGACGACGGGATGGAGGAGGAGGAGGCGGAAGAGGAGGAAGAGGAGGACAGGGAAGTCACCAGTGCCAGCGGTGAGGTCTGCGCCTTGGGTGTGTCGACTGCTAAAAGCGCGTCAATGCGAAAGTTTTTGGATTTCTCCATTGGTCTCCCTGCGGTGCGCGTGCCTGCCGCCTCTGAGGCCCTTAAAAGCTGGAGGAGAAGTCAGCGCCGTTTTGCCACCTTGCAAAAGTTATGATGTGATCCGGAGTGTGAGAGAGGAGCTCCGTTTGACTCTTAATCCCAGCCAGATGAGGGCGATTGGTGCAGCCAATCTGTGGAGTGCAGGGGAGGGAGGTGCGCGCGACAACGCCTCCTGATTGAATGAATGGACGTCTTTATTTTCGCAACAGTGAAATTAAAGAGTTTTAACAGAAATAAAACACACAATCATTGTCCATATGAGTGAAATAAAGGCTTGAGATCGGTTAAAATCAGTTAAGGCGGTTGTTCAGTGTTAAAACCAAATGAGCAATAATAAATAAAGATTTAAAATTGTAATAAATGAAGTTTTAATTTTGTATCAGAGGAAACTGTTCATGTGACAGCTCGAATCATGTTAAAGCACAACAGTATATAAAAAAAGGTTTCAAATTTAAAAAAAAAGTTTTATATTATATATTATTGTTTTATTTTGTCTATTTAGTCTTTATGTTTTTTCCCTAAAAGTTACTTTTTTCTTTTCACAGGGTTTAGAGGCTTTTAACAGTAGAAGCAGCTTCTTCACCAATAACTTTGTGAAATTCCGTCTGAATTCATCTTTCTTATAAGTGTATTTTCTAAAGTCGAACCTAAACTAAATACCAAGAGGCGTTCAGGGCGTGTTGGATTGAAACAAGACCAAATGGTGAAATTAAACGCCACGTTTTGCGACAAAGGTCAACAGAGGTATCATTTCCCTTATTAAGTCATAAAACGTAGCAGGAGCTAATTATTGTTCATTTTGAAAACTTTTAATAAATCGAAAGAAGGTCTGAAGATTTGGAAAAATAAAAGTCGGATTTCGTGAAGCCCTCACAGCGTTAAAGTGATGAAGACACAGATGTAATAGTCCTCGTGGCTCCGGATGAATTCGGTCTAATCAGCCACTTAAAGTTAATGGAAGAGGAGGTCACAACGAGAATTATTGACACCCCGCTGCCCTTAACCTGTCTACCAATAAAGCTGATTGGTTTTGGTCGATTCATCAGCGGCACGAGCTCCTGCGGGACGTTTATTTGCTCGGGGGAAATCAACAAGTCAGCGGGGAGTTGTCTGATAACGGATCGCCGTTTAATTGTGGCCCTCGATGATCAGGACCAATTACAGAATGATAACTGGGAGATTGATGCGGCTGGGATGGTGGTGGTGGTGGTGGTGGGGGGGTCATGGAGAGGGGGAAAAATGGAAAAGAGAGTTGGTTCATTTGTGCGTTCCTTATCACCCGCCGCTGACAGGCGGGCATTGGCGATCATGTCTCTGCGTGTCAGCAAAATATTTCACGAATCACAGGATGAATGTTTAGAACTCATTGACTTTTGGAGTCCACCTGATTCAAGATGGCTGCCAAAGCCCACTGATCTTGATAAACACACACAAAAAACTTTAACTCGTTAATTAATTATTTAATTGATGTATTTATTGGCAATGATCGCCAAAACATGTTCCGACAAAATTGTGCAAGATCTTTGTAAATGTTGGAGTCATCCCTGTTTGTCCGTTGTAAAGATATATATATTTACAAAGTATATATATATATATATATATATATATATATATATATATATATATATCATTAACAATCCATTTCAATACAACTTTCAAAAAGTAAACACTGGACATGCGTCTGTAACTGATTAACTTTTGGAGTCAATTCAAGATGGCCATCAAGTTCACGTTCAAGTTATGTTTATTTGTCACATGCAGGTTAAGGTTAAATGTTTAGGATGAGAAGAGAAAAATTTGACCACATCAGTCAAATGTCCAGATTTGTCGTGGTAGTAGCTAAGAGTCATCCTAAGCGAGACATGTCTTTTCTCAACATTTTAATGTAAAACCCTGGATGATAGGAAATAAAACCTTCAGTTATGAGATTTTTTCATAAAAAAAAAAAAAGTCATATTGTTATGGCTGCTTATTGCACAGAAAACAGTATTTTGTCCACTTTAGCAACAGCTGGTCAGAGCCACACAGAGCTGGGCCGTGCACCCCCCTCCTCCCCCACTCTCCTCCGCCCCTGCGCGGGTTTAATTTCATTAAGGACCCCCGCATGAATATTTCTATTAAAGCTGCGGTGAAATACGGGGCCATTTCCCACTGGCCTCCGCAGATTTATTGCTCCTTTTCATCACATCTGAGGGGAAAGAAAATGAACAAGGCACCCCGGGATGGAAGCGCACCTTTTCCTTTCCCTTCCAAAGCTGTTAATTTGCTCCGTAATTACGTCCACAATAACCTAAAAAATACAAATCAACGTGACAAATCGGAGGAGTTTCTTAAATTAATTACCTTTGGTGAATGCGTTCATTATAAAAAGGAAAAAAAAACAAAACTATATATATAATAATAATTTAAAAAAGCAGTTTAAAGAGAGCTGCTCTGCCTTTTTTTTTTTTTATTCGACCTGAACTGACACAAATTGGATGCATTTATGAAATGTGCCAAACTACTTTATAAAACATTAAAGACACATTGAAGCTTTTGGATGTTTTTTTTATTATTATTATCCAGGTCAGCATCATTCTGGCTATTAAAGAGTTCAAGCCTGAGACACAGAAATAATGAACTTTTTAAAGAATCCATTTGTTTCAGACCTGGTCCTCTCTCTGAATTAGTCACAATTTATTCATATATTGGTTCAAACTAAGCCTCTTCAGATGTTAGAAAAAAACCTGCTGTAAACAACAACAACAATAATAATAATAATAATAATAATTTTAGAAAAACAACACATTTTAACCAGTGTGTCATACTTAAATATTGTTTTACTTAATTATATAAAGGGATTTGTTTAAATATTTAGAAGTTAACCCAGCAGTTTTTGAAATAAAGGCTTTAAAAGTAAAGTATGCTTTTTCTCAATTTTTTTGTTTTGGTCTGTAAAAATAAAATATTTCAAAATCTCTGTCTTTTTATGCTCTTTTCTTTTTGTTGTTGTACAAAGACATCAATAAAAACATCTAGTTTTTTTTTTTAATTTAGATTTTAAATTTAATGGAAAACATTTGTTTTGACTGACCTTCATCTTGTTTTCCAATTTGTTTTCATGTATTATATATATATATATATATATATATATATATATATATATTTA